AAAAAAAATACTGGGTCATGATTGGTGTTAGGGATATCCTAGACACCAGTCATAACTGGACAGAAACCAAGACCAGTGAATAGTGGAGGGCCACAAATACATATTTACTATTTTTTCTTTTAAAAAAAAACTAATATAGTTCAAGTTGAGTGTAGAAGTGATCATGTTTGTTTAAACTAATACTTAAAATAAGGAGAGTGTCACTAGATAAACAAAGAACAAAAGCACACCTAGTAGCATCAGTATTTTTGTGTTTGTAGTCTTTCCTTTGCCTATTTATTGGGTCGGGAAGTGGTGAAAATGATTGCACTAACCAGATTTTCCATTTTTCTGTAAGCAATGCCATAGTTAAAAGATGAAATAGTATTAGAACTTGAAAGAAAAAGATTGCAAGCGAAAGGAAGATAAACTATCCTTCAAAGAGGAAAAACAAAAGTAAAAGCTATATTAATACAAGATGGCAATCCAATCCCTTTGTAGTGTGGATGAGGAAGTCTCCTGATGAAACCGTGGGGTTTAGCCAAAAGAGAAGTCAAAAGCACCATCCTCTATCAAATGTCACAAAATGAATAAAACCTTTGCTTAAAGAATCTGACATTTCTCTCCAACCAAAGAACTCATCACCCAGCAAAAATAACACAGAGGTGAAGAACCTCTGATCGGAAGCCATGCTCAAGAAACAAAAAGGAGAAAATAATCTAATCCAATCCTCCAGTCCTTCCGTAATGGAGAAGAAATGACTATCATGTTCTAAGCTGTGAAAAAACATCAAACAAAGTCTGAAGAAAACATGCTCTGAGGTCCACGAGTTTGAAGCAAATCATTAGTGTTGATTCTATTTAGAACCGCTGCCCCCATGAAGACTCTCACCTTAGACTGAGTTTTCACTTTCCATAAAAAAAGGGAGAAAAGCAAAAAGTATATCTGGTAAGATTGTGTGTAAGAAACTCCAAAGATGGTTCACAAAAATAAGCCTTCAAAGAATCAATGTACGATAGAATTGAGAAGAAAAAATTCCAGCGAAGTAGTCAAAGACATTAATTCTAACGATTCACGGACAATGAAGTTTCTAAAAAGAAAAAGTTATCACAGAAGTGAATGTCCTAGCGTAGTTGGTTGCATTATCCAAACCATATAATTTATTTACGTTTCCACGAAAAACTATTTCTACTAATCTTCAAAGAGTCCCCGATGGCATTTCTTCCAAGTTTTTCTGTTTTATTTTCATGCGTTCTATGGCACCTTCTTAGTTTTTGAAGAGTAAGATCTATAGTTACTTTCCGCAGAAGCAATTGAACAAGTCACTTGGATGACCTAATGTATCAGTAAAGTGGGCCATATTGGGATAAAATAGGTAGAAAAGGAGAAGAGAAATAAAGGTCAAGAGAATATTTCTATCTCTGTTTTGGTTCGTGTTAAACCAGTTAGATGGTAATACAATGGGCTGTATGGATAAAATAGGTAAACAGAATTGGAAAAAGGAAAAAAGAAGATGGAAAGAAGAGTTATAAGTTTTTCAGAAGGAAATTGCAAAAGATTAGATTAGTTCTATCTATTAAATGTAGCTTTATGTGAAACATTATTTGTTTTTTTTTTCAAAAAAATAACATATTTTTGTTGTTTGTTTGAATAACAGAGGCATTGAGATCACGGAAGCTCTTAGACTACAGATGGAAGTTCAAAAACGGCTACATGAACAACTGGAGGTATCAATTTATTCATAAGAAACATTAGTTCTGTATGGAAGAAAAAATATTTTAGATGAACTAACCGGAAATTAAATCTAAAGGAGGATTGGTTATTCTCAGAAAAAGAGAAATGAATAATTTAATTATCCTTTGGCTCCTTTTATTTCAAGCTTCGTCCAATTCTTTTTATGGTGGAATAAGAATTATTAGGAATTCAAGCTGGAATTGAAGTAATTCAAACATGAAAATGATTTCGTTCTGCTTGGATTTGAGAATGCCAGTAGTTAAGTAAATAAGAGAATGAGAATCAAATTGAAAATGAAGCCAGTGGATTGATCATGGTAGTTGTTGTAACTAATCATAGATTTGGGACATCTGTCTTGCATCATGTTATATATCTGGACATATTTGTAATTATCTTGGCATTTCTCAACATGCTTACATGTGGTAACCTCTGGAGTTTGACTTAGTCCTAGCCAAATACCTGTCTTTGACCTTTTGACTTCATGTTGATCTCCATTGGAAATTGGTTTTCTCTATTGCCTACAAGCAGATAGCATTATTCAAAATGAGTAAAAATATTCTAATAAGTTTCTTTTACAAATTATGCATTTAATTAAGCCATGTACTTCTAAAATTTGTTTGAATCGCTATCTGAATTGACGAAAAATGATACAGGAATTTGGAGGTCTTAAGATCTATTTTACTCTACACACATGTAGCATTGACGTGACAAGAATAATGCATAATCAGTATGATGAGTTAACTAATAGCCATGTGGTATAACATTATTGGGTTTATCATAACTCTTGATAAATAAAATAAAATGTATTAAAATTTAAAAAAAAAACAAAAATCTTCGAAGCAAAATCTTTTCCCGGATGTTCTGATTTCAAAAAAAAAATCTTCCCAAATGTTCATCTGCTTCTTTGTTCTCTCATCACGTCTAGAATCATCAACCCTAAAAAATAATCTTCACCCAAAAAAATAATCCAATTTAGCAACATTTCCC